TAAAGGAGGTTCTCGGGATCTTTATACTAACTTAAACAATTGAATTAACTACCATTTATCTTAAGATTTGATGGGCTTTGGAAAAAGTTGGTAGAGACGAAGCATAACTACCATTATTCTTTCACTATTGCTTTTAAATGTAAAATTTTACAAAAGCCCAACTAGAAAAAACTCATGATTTGTAAGAAATGGAGTATGATTAGTACTGTTTAGGAGTTTTTAACTGATAACTAAAACAGCATGTAACAGATCAGAGTATATATAACACTTTGGTTGTTCTAGCAACAAACAATACAACACAAAAGAATAAGGACATCAACCGGCAACTAATTACGAAAGTAATTTAACAAAAAGTATTCATTCATTTAACCTTATCAATAGAAGAACCCTCCTGATCATAATAATACTATCTCACTCCGAAAAAACTTCACTTAATACTTTAGGATTTTGAATATCAACTTTTCTTACATGAATTCTTTATAGAACTATGATAAATTTTAGTTATAAACAACAAATTACAAGGATCATATATATATATATATATATATATTTTCAACAAACAAACTGAAACTCACTAAAATTGTAATTTTAGTTATAAACAACAAATTACAATTTTAGTCCACACTTTTGGAAAATGACAACAGCCGAAGGCATCTATTACTAACCGAAGGCTACACAAGGAAGCGACACTTAGAAAATTTTCTAAGTCCTGAAGATTGAGCCCCCGGCCTGATCACTATTTCAACCGAGGGACCGTGATAGCCGAAGGCTACATGATGCAACAACACTTAGAAGATTTTCTAAGTCCTACATATTTTTCCCTCGGTCAAACTACTTATACATCAAGGAGAAGGCTATCACCCCGAAGCCGAGGGCAACTTGACATCATGCATTTGGAAGTAAGGCTAAGTCCTGAAGATTTGGCCCTCGGCCAAATATCCACGCAACAGGAAGGTTCACCCAGCGATTCGAGGGCTCTTACCAGGACCACTCGGGGGCTCAACATCTGAGATCCACTTAGGAAATTTTCTAAGTCCTAAATATTCTCCCCTCGGACAGACTCCTCACTGACCGAAGGCTCAACATCTACAACACACTTAGAAAATTTTCTAAGTCCTATATATTGGGCTCTCAGTCCAACATTCACACATCAGGAAGGAGGTTGCCCAGCCGAGGGCCTCCAAGGGCAAACTACACTTAGAAATCTTTCTAAGTCCTAAGGATTGGGTTCTCAACCTAATCATCGCACAACAATTGAACTACAAACATCCGAAGGCCCTATGGTGTGCTACACTTAGAAAAATTTTCTATGTCCTAACTATTGCTGAGCCCTCAGTTGTATATCCAGCGAAGGGTGCCCAACAACCGAAGGCTACAACTGTGTTCAAACACTTAGAAAATATTCTAAGTCCTAAACATACATTCAAAGAAGGCGAAGACATACACTCGAGAAAAACGAAGGCATACATTCAAGGAGGAATGAATTAAAGAAAACCAGTCATGTATATACGAGGCCCGAGGGCTAACATTCATCCACCAATCATCACAAAAAAGAGTAAAAGTAATTGTTACAATGATGGCCGAGGCCGAAAACATACAAATGTGACCTATTTAGGGCAATAACTTTAGAAATATTGGTATTTACATTTTAGAATTATTAAGTAATAACACTAATATGTAAATATTATTAAATGACCTATTTTATCATTATATGTGTAATATAGTTGGCACAAATAAAATTCATTGATTTGTTCAAATTATTACTACGTAAAACGGTTCAACTTATTACATTCCTTATTGCCATTATTAGTATTATTAATTAACTAATTTTAAGACAAATTAAAATTAAAGGCTTGTGAGGAGAAAAGTTATCTACTGCTCCGTATCACATCTATCATTATTTTAAAATAGTCTTCGGTCCCAAGTCCTAACAATCAACTGACATCTCATTTTGTTGGGCATGAATGAGATGCAAAAGCAGCTTGAATCGGATATGTAGACGCTGGATACTTATCAGATCCTCAAAAGGCGAAATCACAAACCGGGTACGTATTTACTTATGGTAACACCGCAATCTCATGGAGATCTATGAAGCAGACATTGACAGCTATATCATCAAATCATTCAGAGTTAATTGCATTATATGAAACCGGAAGAGAATGTGTGTGGCTGCGGTCTATGATTCAACACATCCAAAATGAATGCGGTATGAAACCTATTACTTGTCACCCGACTGTGATTTACGAAGACAACACTGAGTGCATAGCTCAGATTAAAGAAGGCTACATCAAAGGAGACACAACAAAATACATATCACCAAAGTTCTTTTCTACTCATGATCTGGAGAAAAAAGGGACGATCAACATTCAACAAATCAGATCTAGTGAAAATCCGGCTGATCTCTTCACCAAATCTTTACCCCGATAAAGTTCATAGAACTTGGATATCTGATTCTCCAGATGCTTGGTCATCTAGATTTTTTAATAAATATGAGTAAATTTCTAAGACCAGTAAAGAGTTGTAGTTGTTTGGAAGGAGGTTCTCAAAATCATTATACTAACTTAAAGAATTCATATAACTACCATTTATCTTAAGATTTGATGGGCTTTGGAAAGAGTTGGTAGAGACCAAGCATAACTACCATTATTCTTTCACTATTGCGTTTAAATCTAAAATTTAAAAAAAAGTAGACATCAAGCCCAACTAGAAAAAAATCATGATTTGTAAGAAACGAAGTATGATTAGTGCTATTTAGGAGTTTTTAACTGATAACTAAAATAGCATGTAACAGATCGGAGTATATATAACACTTTGGTTATTCTAGCAACAAACAATACAACACAAAAGAATTAGGACATCAACCTGCAACTAATTACAAAAGTAATTTAACAAAAAGTATTCATTCATTTAACCCAAGCGATAGAATAACCCTTCTGATCGTAGTAATACTACCTCACACCGAAAAAACTTCACTTAATACTTTAGGATTCTGAATATCAACTTTTCATACATGAATTCTTTTTAGAACTATGATAAATTTTAGTTATAAACAACAAATTACAAACTCTTATATATATAAATGTAAAATTTCAAAAAGGTAGACATAATAGAACTTAACTGGAAAATGAACTCATTATTTGAAAGATACGAAGTATGATCAGTGTATGAAAAATAAAAACCAAACTAAGCCAATCCGAGATGAGTTTAAACACACTGCAAATAATCAAACTTATGTTGTGAAAATAAAACATGAAAAGTCCAACACTCATCTTAGCTTTATAATGCCCACTCCTAAATCCAGTTTCAAAATGCTCGGAGCTTCACAGTACGCGTCTGCGACCTATATAAAGCCAAACACAATCCGAAATGATTTTAAACGCACCGCAAAGCAATCAAACTTACGCAATGAAAATAACTTAGACAATAAACTTAACAAACTTTCATATAAAATCGAATATCCGATTCTCCTGATGCTTGGCCATCTAGATTTTTGAGTAAAAATGAGTAAATTTACGAGACTAGTAAAGAGTTGTAAAGTTTTTTTAAAGGAGGTTCTCGGGATCTTTATACTAACTTAAACAATTGAATTAACTACCATTTATCTTAAGATTTGATGGGCTTTGGAAAAAGTTGGTAGAGACGAAGCATAACTACCATTATTCTTTCACTATTGCTTTTAAATGTAAAATTTTACAAAAGCCCAACTAGAAAAAACTCATGATTTGTAAGAAATGGAGTATGATTAGTACTGTTTAGGAGTTTTTAACTGATAACTAAAACAGCATGTAACAGATCAGAGTATATATAACACTTTGGTTGTTCTAGCAACAAACAATACAACACAAAAGAATAAGGACATCAACCGGCAACTAATTACGAAAGTAATTTAACAAAAAGTATTCATTCATTTAACCTTATCAATAGAAGAACCCTCCTGATCATAATAATACTATCTCACTCCGAAAAAACTTCACTTAATACTTTAGGATTTTGAATATCAACTTTTCTTACATGAATTCTTTATAGAACTATGATAAATTTTAGTTATAAACAACAAATTACAAGGATAATATATATATATATATATATATATTTTCAACAAACAAACTGAAACTCACTAAAATTGTAATTTTAGTTATAAACAACAAATTACAATTTTAGTCCACACTTTTGGAAAATGACAACAGCCGAAGGCATCTATTACTAACCGAAGGCTACACAAGGAAGCGACACTTAGAAAATTTTCTAAGTCCTGAAGATTGAGCCCCCGGCCTGATCACTATTTCAACCGAGGGACCGTGATAGCCGAAGGCTACATGATGCAACAACACTTAGAAGATTTTCTAAGTCCTACATATTTTTCCCTCGGTCAAACTACTTATACATCAAGGAGAAGGCTATCACCCCGAAGCCGAGGGCAACTTGACATCATGCATTTGGAAGTAAGGCTAAGTCCTGAAGATTTGGCCCTCGGCCAAATATCCACGCAACAGGAAGGTTCACCCAGCGATTCGAGGGCTCTTACCAGGACCACTCGGGGGCTCAACATCTGAGATCCACTTAGGAAATTTTCTAAGTCCTAAATATTCTCCCCTCGGACAGACTCCTCACTGACCGAAGGCTCAACATCTACAACACACTTAGAAAATTTTCTAAGTCCTATATATTGGGCTCTCAGTCCAACATTCACACATCAGGAAGGAGGTTGCCCAGCCGAGGGCCTCCAAGGGCAAACTACACTTAGAAATCTTTCTAAGTCCTAAGGATTGGGTTCTCAACCTAATCATCGCACAACAATTGAACTACAAACATCCGAAGGCCCTATGGTGTGCTACACTTAGAAAAATTTTCTATGTCCTAACTATTGCTGAGCCCTCAGTTGTATATCCAGCGAAGGGTGCCCAACAACCGAAGGCTACAACTGTGTTCAAACACTTAGAAAATATTCTAAGTCCTAAACATACATTCAAAGAAGGCGAAGACATACACTCGAGAAAAACGAAGGCATACATTCAAGGAGGAATGAATTAAAGAAAACCAGTCATGTATATACGAGGCCCGAGGGCTAACATTCATCCACCAATCATCACAAAAAAGAGTAAAAGTAATTGTTACAATGATGGCCGAGGCCGAAAACATACAAATGTGACCATTACAAAGCGTGATCAAATTGCTAAGTACAAATTACACATCAAACAACGTCATTTCCGGGGGCCGCCTCCTCCGATGGCTTCGAAGTGACCTCTGCATCCGCCTCAGGTTCGTCACCCTCGGCTTCCTTCCGGAGCTCAGTATCTTCCAGGTCTGGCCTCTCGACATCGGAGGGGAGAGGAACGCGGATGTCTGGCTGCAGGGGGGAAGCCCGTATGCCGCCGGGTCGAAGTCCTTCGGCTCAATCTTCAAATGGCGAGCCATCCTCCGGTAGATGAGGGCTTGAGTGAAAAACTCGCCCCCATCATAATATTGTTTACCCTTTCGGGCCATCCATTCCTCGCCCGGGCCCTCGCACCACTCATCGACTGAGGCCTCCACAACCGAGGACAGCCACCCCCCGTCCAGGAACCCGGAGATGGCCTCCCGGGCTGTGGCGACAGCCTTCGCTCTGATGGCCTCGGCCTCCTCGGCGGCTCTCCTTGCGGACTCCGCAGCAGCCTCCTCAGCTTTTGCCTTCTCCTCCCTGAGCCTTCCGGCCTCCGCTCTCGCAAGCTGGAGGTCCTCTTCAAGTTGGGCCATCAGCTTCGTGGCCTTGGAGTCCTTGAGGATTAGCTCCTTCATCTTGGCGTCTTGCCCAGCTTTGTGGAGGCGCCATTCCTCCAGCCGTCGGAACTGCTCTCCAAGGGCAATGCAAGTCTGCAAAAATAAAGGAGTTAGCAGGGCCGAACGTGATTTCCTAGTTCGAAGTAAAGAAGAGAAAGACAAACTGTCATAAACTTACCGTGAGGGAAGACCGGAGGATCCTGTCTTCGAGGGCTTGGTCATCATCAGCCCCGAGGGCTGCCCTGTCAATATCGAGGGTTATACCTCTCAGGAGCGCCCTCGGGTCAGTCGTGCCATTCAACACGGCCGTACCAGCCGGGAGGGAGAGCGTAAGGACCTCAAGAGATGGCTCCCGGACACCCCTCGGCACCTGCGCCATCGGCATCTCCTCATGCACCCCGGAGGCGGGACAGTCATCTACAATCACCACCGGGGGGTCATCCTTCGCGGTGTCCCCCTTCTTCGATTTCTTGGGGGCCTGGGGGGCTCCTTTGCCGTCGGCTTCCTCTTCGCCGCAGCAGCATCGCCCTCAGGCTTCTTGAAAGGCGCACCGACGGGCTTTTGGCCGCCCGCGTCCGACCCCTTCGGATCCTTGCCCGGCTTGTTCTTGAATCGAGCGAGGCCTTTGACGTTCATCATGTTCACTGGGATACCTGCAAAACAATGAGGGGTTAGAATCGAGGGGTCACTAACAAATGGCATAAAGAATAAACGAAGCAAATAAGCGACGTGCTAAGATATGAAGGTGAGAATGCCCTCAGCCACTACCTCCGGAGGCTCCCTCAAACACTGGGAACTTCTCATCTGTTTCCCCCAGGAACCGGTACCGCCGGAACCCGAGGGTGTAGAGATCTCCTTCCTTGGTGCACTCCTTAATGGTGATATTCTTGTCCCGGCCCTCCGGGATCATGGCCAGAATCCTGTCATCTTTTCGAGGGCGGCGCTCCTCCTCTTCTCGTGCCTCTTGAAACGGTCACGTAACTCCCTCGGGAAGGGGCTCTCGGTCAGCTTCACGTAGCACCACCGGTCCTTCCACCCCTTGTTCGAGGAGGGCGCCTCAGTGAAGAGCTTGAACATGGACACCTTATTTGCAAACGTAGACATAATAGAGCTTAACTGGAAAATAAACTCATTATTTGCAAGAAACAAAATATGATCGGTGTTTAAAAATAAAAACCAAACTAAGCCAATCCGAGATGAGTTTAAAACACACTGCAAATAATCAAACTTATGCTGTGAAAATAAAACATGAAAAGTCCAACACTCACCTTAGCTTTATAATGCCCACTCCTAAATCCAGTTTAACAATGCTCGGAGCTTCACCGTACGCGTCTGCGACCTATATAAAGCCAAACATAATGTTAAATGATTTTAAACGCACTGCAAAGCAATCAAACTTACGCACTTAAAATAACTTAGACAATAAACTTAACAAACTTTTATATAAAATTGGATGCTTTGCCATCTAGATTTTTGAGTAAATATGAGTAAATTTACGAGACTAGTAAAGAGTTGCAAGGTTTTTTGGAAGGAGGTTCTCGGGATCTTTATACTAACTTAAAGAATTCAATTAACTACCATTTATCTTAAGATTTGATGGGCTTTGGAAAAAGTTGGTAGAGACCAAGCATAACTACCGTTATTCTTTCACTATTGCTTTTAAATGTAAAATTTAAAAAAAGGAAGACTTCAAGCCCAACTAGAATAAACTCATGATTTGTAACCAAACCCAAGAAACGAAGTATGATCCGTGTTTGAAAAAATAAAAACCAAACCTTGGTCAAATAAATATGAGTGAATTTCAGAGACTAGTAAATAGTTGTTTCAGTAATTAAGAAGAAATCTCTAGGCTCTTAACTCAATTAATTCAACCAAATACCATTTATCTTAAGGTTTGATGGCCTTTGCAAATAATATACAACTGCCCACCCAAAACAACGAGTTAAGAAATTAGTTTTATATTAATATTCTTTCTTCATTGCTTTTAAATGTAAAATTTCAAAAACATAGACATAATAGAGCTTAACTGGAAAATAAACTCATTATTTGCAAGAAACAAAATATGATCGGTGTTTAAAAGTAAAAACCAAACTAAGCCAATCCGAGATGAGTTTAAAACACACTGCAAATAATCAAACTTATGCTGTGAAAATAAAACATGAAAAGTTCAACACTCACCGTAGCTTTATAATGCCCACTCCTAAATCCAGTTTACCTATTACTTGTCACCCGACTGTGATCTACGAAGACAACACTGAGTGCATAGCTCAGATTAAAGAAGGCTACATCAAAGGAGACACAACAAAATACATATCACCAAAGTTCTTTTCTACTCATGATCTGGAGAAAAAAGGGACGATCAACATTCAACAAATCAGATCTAGTGAAAATCCGGCTGATCTCTTCACAAAATCTTTACCCCGATAAAGTTCATAGAACTTGGATATCTGATTCTCCAGATGCTTGGTCATCTAGATTTTTTAATAAATATGAGTAAATTTCTAAGACCAGTAAAGAGTTGTAGTTGTTTGGAAGGAGGTTCTCAAAATCATTATACTAACTTAAAGAATTCATATAACTACCATTTATCTTAAGATTTGATGGGCTTTGGAAAGAGTTGGTAGAGACCAAGCATAACTACCATTATTCTTTCACTATTGCGTTTAAATCTAAAATTTAAAAAAAAGTAGACATCAAGCCCAACTAGAAAAAAATCATGATTTGTAAGAAACGAAGTATGATTAGTGCTATTTAGGAGTTTTTAACTGATAACTAAAACAGCATGTAACAGATCGGAGTATATATAACACTTTGGTTATTCTAGCAACAAACAATACAACACAAAAGAATTAGGACATCAACCTGCAACTAATTACAAAAGTAATTTAACAAAAAGTATTCATTCATTTAACCCAAGCGATAGAATAACCCTTCTGATCGTAGTAATACTACCTCACACCGAAAAAACTTCACTTAATACTTTAGGATTCTGAATATCAACTTTTCATACATGAATTCTTTTTAGAACTATGATAAATTTTAGTTATAAACAACAAATTACAAACTCTTATATATATAAATGTAAAATTTCAAAAAGGTAGACATAATAGAACTTAACTGGAAAATGAACTCATTATTTGAAAGATACGAAGTATGATCAGTGTATGAAAAATAAAAACCAAACTAAGCCAATCCGAGATGAGTTTAAACACACTGCAAATAATCAAACTTATGTTGTGAAAATAAAACATGAAAAGTCCAACACTCATCTTAGCTTTATAATGCCCACTCCTAAATCCAGTTTCAAAATGCTCGGAGCTTCACAGTACGCGTCTGCGACCTATATAAAGCCAAACACAATCCGAAATGATTTTAAACGCACCGCAAAGCAATCAAACTTACGCAATGAAAATAACTTAGACAATAAACTTAACAAACTTTCATATAAAATCGAATATCCGATTCTCCTGATGCTTGGCCATCTAGATTTTTGAGTAAAAATGAGTAAATTTACGAGACTAGTAAAGAGTTGTAAAGTTTTTTTAAAGGAGGTTCTCGGGATCTTTATACTAACTTAAACAATTGAATTAACTACCATTTATCTTAAGATTTGATGGGCTTTGGAAAAAGTTGGTAGAGACGAAGCATAACTACCATTATTCTTTCACTATTGCTTTTAAATGTAAAATTTTACAAAAGCCCAACTAGAAAAAACTCATGATTTGTAAGAAATGGAGTATGATTAGTACTGTTTAGGAGTTTTTAACTGATAACTAAAACAGCATGTAACAGATCAGAGTATATATAACACTTTGGTTGTTCTAGCAACAAACAATACAACACAAAAGAATAAGGACATCAACCGGCAACTAATTACGAAAGTAATTTAACAAAAAGTATTCATTCATTTAACCTTATCAATAGAAGAACCCTCCTGATCATAATAATACTATCTCACTCCGAAAAAACTTCACTTAATACTTTAGGATTTTGAATATCAACTTTTCTTACATGAATTCTTTATAGAACTATGATAAATTTTAGTTATAAACAACAAATTACAAGGATAATATATATATATATATATATATATTTTCAACAAACAAACTGAAACTCACTAAAATTGTAATTTTAGTTATAAACAACAAATTACAATTTTAGTCCACACTTTTGGAAAATGACAACAGCCGAAGGCATCTATTACTAACCGAAGGCTACACAAGGAAGCGACACTTAGAAAATTTTCTAAGTCCTGAAGATTGAGCCCCCGGCCTGATCACTATTTCAACCGAGGGACCGTGATAGCCGAAGGCTACATGATGCAACAACACTTAGAAGATTTTCTAAGTCCTACATATTTTTCCCTCGGTCAAACTACTTATACATCAAGGAGAAGGCTATCACCCCGAAGCCGAGGGCAACTTGACATCATGCATTTGGAAGTAAGGCTAAGTCCTGAAGATTTGGCCCTCGGCCAAATATCCACGCAACAGGAAGGTTCACCCAGCGATTCGAGGGCTCTTACCAGGACCACTCGGGGGCTCAACATCTGAGATCCACTTAGGAAATTTTCTAAGTCCTAAATATTCTCCCCTCGGACAGACTCCTCACTGACCGAAGGCTCAACATCTACAACACACTTAGAAAATTTTCTAAGTCCTATATATTGGGCTCTCAGTCCAACATTCACACATCAGGAAGGAGGTTGCCCAGCCGAGGGCCTCCAAGGGCAAACTACACTTAGAAATCTTTCTAAGTCCTAAGGATTGGGTTCTCAACCTAATCATCGCACAACAATTGAACTACAAACATCCGAAGGCCCTATGGTGTGCTACACTTAGAAAAATTTTCTATGTCCTAACTATTGCTGAGCCCTCAGTTGTATATCCAGCGAAGGGTGCCCAACAACCGAAGGCTACAACTGTGTTCAAACACTTAGAAAATATTCTAAGTCCTAAACATACATTCAAAGAAGGCGAAGACATACACTCGAGAAAAACGAAGGCATACATTCAAGGAGGAATGAATTAAAGAAAACCAGTCATGTATATACGAGGCCCGAGGGCTAACATTCATCCACCAATCATCACAAAAAAGAGTAAAAGTAATTGTTACAATGATGGCCGAGGCCGAAAACATACAAATGTGACCATTACAAAGCGTGATCAAATTGCTAAGTACAAATTACACATCAAACAACGTCATTTCCGGGGGCCGCCTCCTCCGATGGCTTCGAAGTGACCTCTGCATCCGCCTCAGGTTCGTCACCCTCGGCTTCCTTCCGGAGCTCAGTATCCTCCAGGTCTGGCCTCTCGACATCGGAGGGGAGAGGAACGCGGATGTCTGGCTGCAGGGGGGAAGCCCGTATGCCGCCGGGTCGAAGTCCTTCGGCTCAATCTTCAAATGGCGAGCCATCCTCCGGTAGATGAGGGCTTGAGTGAAAAACTCGCCCCCATCATAATATTGTTTACCCTTTTGGGCCATCCATTCCTCGCCCGGGCCCTCGCACCACTCATCGACTGAGGCCTCCACAACCGAGGACAGCCACCCCCCGTCCAGGAACCCGGAGATGGCCTCCCGGGCTGTGGCGACAGCCTTCGCTCTGATGGCCTCGGCCTCCTCGGCGGCTCTCCTTGCGGACTCCGCAGCAGCCTCCTCAGCTTTTGCCTTCTCCTCCCTGAGCCTTCCGGCCTCCGCTCTCGCAAGCTGGAGGTCCTCTTCAAGTTGGGCCATCAGCTTCGTGGCCTTGGAGTCCTTGAGGATTAGCTCCTTCATCTTGGCGTCTTGCCCAGCTTTGTGGAGGGCGCCATTCCTCCAGCCGTCGGAACTGCTCTCCAAGGGCAATGCAAGTCTGCAAAAATAAAGGAGTTAGCAGGGCCGAACGTGATTTCCTAGTTCGAAGTAAAGAAGAGAAAGACAAACTGTCATAAACTTACCGTGAGGGAAGACCGGAGGATCCTGTCTTCGAGGGCTTGGTCATCATCAGCCCCGAGGGCTGCCCTGTCAATATCGAGGGTTATACCTCTCAGGAGCGCCCTCGGGTCAGTCGTGCCATTCAACACGGCCGTACCAGCCGGGAGGGAGAGCGTAAGGACCTCAAGAGATGGCTCCCGGACACCCTTCGGCACCTGCGCCATCGGCATCTCCTCATGCACCCCGGAGGCGGGACAGTCATCTACAATCACCACCGGGGGGTCATCCTTCGCGGCGTCCCCCTTCTTCGATTTCTTGGGGGCCTGGGGGGCTCCTTTGCCGTCGGCTTCCTCTTCGCCGCAGCAGCATCGCCCTCAGGCTTCTTGAAAGGCGCACCGACGGGCTTTTGGCCGCCCGCGTCCGACCCCTTCGGATCCTTGCCCGGCTTGTTCTTGAATCGAGCGAGGCCTTTGACGTTCATCATGTTCACTGGGATACCTGCAAAACAATGAGGGGTTAGAATCGAGGGGTCACTAACAAATGGCATAAAGAATAAACGAAGCAAATAAGCGACGTGCTAAGATATGAAGGTGAGAATGCCCTCAGCCACTACCTCCGGAGGCTCCCTCAAACACTGGGAACTTCTCATCTGTTTCCCCCAGGAACCGGTACCGCCGGAACCCGAGGGTGTAGAGATCTCCTTCCTTGGTGCACTCCTTAATGGTGATATTCTTGTCCCGGCCCTCCGGGATCATGGCCAGAATCCTGTCATCTTTTCGAGGGCGGCGCTCCTCCTCTTCTCGTGCCTCTTGAAACGGTCACGTAACTCCCTCGGGAAGGGGCTCTCGGTCAGCTTCACGTAGCACCACCGGTCCTTCCACCCCTTGTTCGAGGAGGGCGCCTCAGTGAAGAGCTTGAACATGGACACCTTATTTGCAAACGTAGACATAATAGAGCTTAACTGGAAAATAAACTCATTATTTGCAAGAAACAAAATATGATCGGTGTTTAAAAATAAAAACCAAACTAAGCCAATCCGAGATGAGTTTAAAACACACTGCAAATAATCAAACTTATGCTGTGAAAATAAAACATGAAAAGTCCAACACTGACCTTAGCTTTATAATGCCCACTCCTAAATCCAGTTTAACAATGCTCGGAGCTTCACCGTACGCGTCTGCGACCTATATAAAGCCAAACATAATGTTAAATGATTTTAAACGCACTGCAAAGCAATCAAACTTACGCACTTAAAATAACTTAGACAATAAACTTAACAAACTTTTATATAAAATTGGATGCTTTGCCATCTAGATTTTTGAGTAAATATGAGTAAATTTACGAGACTAGTAAAGAGTTGTAAGGTTTTTTGGAAGGAGGTTCTCGGGATCTTTATACTAACTTAAAGAATTCAATTAACTACCATTTATCTTAAGATTTGATGGGCTTTGGAAAAAGTTGGTAGAGACCAAGCATAACTACCATTATTCTTTCACTATTGCTTTTAAATGTAAAATTTAAAAAAAGGAAGACTTCAAGCCCAACTAGAATAAACTCATGATTTGTAACCAAACCCAAGAAACGAAGTATGATCCGTGTTTGAAAAAATAAAAACCAAACCTTGGTCAAATAAATATGAGTGAATTTCAGAGACTAGTAAATAGTTGTTTCAGTAATTAAGAAGAAATCTCTAGGCTCTTAACCCAATTAATTCAACCAAATACCATTTATCTTAAGGTTTGATGGCCTTTGCAAAAAATATACAACTGCCCACCCAAAAAAACGAGTTAAGAAATTAGTTTTATATTAATATTCTTTCTTCATTGCTTTTAAATGTAAAATTTCAAAAACATAGACATAATAGAGCTTAACTGGAAAATAAACTCATTATTTGCAAGAAACAAAATATGATCGGTGTTTAAAAATAAAAACCAAACTAAGCCAATCCGAGATGAGTTTAAAACACACTGCAAATAATCAAACTTATGCTGTGAAAATAAAACATGAAAAGTTCAACACTCACCGTAGCTTTATAATGCCCACTCCTAAATCCAGTTTCACAATGCTCGGAGCTTCACCGTACGCGTCTGCGACCTATATAAAGCCAAACATAATGTTAAATAATTTTAAACGCACTGCAAAGCAATCAAACTTACGCACTTAAAATAACTTAGACAATAAACTTAACAAACTTTTATATAAAATTGGACATGTGATTCTCCAGATGCTTTGCCATCTAGATTTTTGAGTAAATATGAGTAAATTTACGAGACTAGTAAATAGTTGTTTAAGTTATTCAGAAGAAAGCTCTCGGGTCATAACTCAATAAATTTAATCAAATACCGTTTATCTTAAGGTTTGATGGCCTTTGCAAAAAATATACAACTGCCCACCCAAAACTACGAGTTGAGAAATTAGTTTTAAACTACTATTTTTCTTCACTGCTTTTAAATGTAAAATATTAAAAAGGTAAACATAATAAAGCTTAACTGGAAAATAACCTCATGATTTGCAAAAAACGAAGTATGATCCGTGTTTGAAAAAATAAAAACCAAACCTTGGTCAAATAAATATGAGTGAATTTCAGAGACTAGTAAATAGTTGTTTCAGTAATTAAGAAGAAATCTCTAGGCTCTTAACCCAATAAATTCAACCAAATACCATTTATCTTAAGGTTTGATGCCCTTTGCAAAATATATACAACTGCCCACCCAAAACAACGAGTTAGGAAATTAGTTTTATACTAATATTCTTTCTTCATTGCTTTTAAATGTAAAATTTCGAAAACGTAGACATAATAGACCTTAACTGGAAAATAAACTCATTATTTGCAAGAAACAAAATATGATCGGTGTTTAAAAATAAAAACCAAACTAAGCCAATCCGAGATGAGTTTAAACACACTGCAAGTAATCAAACTTATGCTGTGAAAATAAAACATGAAAAGTCAAACACTCACCTTAGCTTTATAATGCGCACTCTTAAATCCAGTTTCACAATGCTCGGAGCTTCACCGTACACGTCTGCGACCTATATAAAGCCAAAGATCTTGTTAAATGATTTTAAACGCACTGCAAAGCAATCAAACTTACACACTTCAAATAACTTAGACAATAAACTTGACAAACTTTTATATAAAATTGGATATGTGATTCTCCAGATGCTTTGCCATCTAGATTTTTGAGTAAATATGAGTAAATTTACGAGACTAGTAAATAGTTGTATAAGTTATTCAGAAGAAAGCTCTCGGGTCATAACTCAATAAATTTAATCAAATACCATTTATCTTAAGGTTTGATGGCCTTTGCAAAAAATATACAACTGCCCACCCAAAACTACGAGTTGAGAAATTAGTTTTAAACTACTATTTTTCTTCACTGCTTTTAAATGTAAAATTTTAAAAAGGTAAACATAATAAAGCTTAACTGGAAAATAACCTCATGATTTGCAAGAAACGAAGTATGATCCGTGTTTGAAAAAATAAAAACCAAATCTTGGTCAAATAAATATGAGTGAATTTCAGAGACTAGTAAATAGTTGTTTCAGTAATTAAGAAGAAATCTCTAGGCTCTTAACCCAATAAATTCAACCAAATACCATTTATCTTAAGGTTTGATGCCCTTTCCAAAAAAAATACAACTGCCCACCCAAAACAACGAGTTAGGAAATTAGTTTTATATTAATATTCTTTCTTCATTGCTTTTAAATGTAAAATTTCGAAAACGTAGACATAATAGAGCTTAACTGGAAAATAAACTCATTATTTGCAAGAAACAAAATATGATCGGTGTTTAAAAATAAAAACCAAACTAAGCCAATCCGAGATGAGTTTAAAACACACTGCAAATAATCAAACTTATGCTGTGAAAATAAAACATGAAAAGTCCAACACTCACCTTAGCTTTATAATTCCCACTCCTAAATCCAGTTTAACAATGCTCGGAGCTTCACCGTACGCGTCTGCGACCTATATAAAGCCAAACATAATGTTAAATGATTTTAAACGCACTGCAAAGCAATAAAACTTACGCACTTAAAATAACTTAGACAATAAACTTAACAAACTTTTATATAAAATTGGTTATGTGAATCTCCAGATGCTTTGCCATCTAGATTTTTGAGTAAATATGAGTAAATTTACGAGACTAGTAAAGAGTTGTAAGGTTTTTGGGAAGGAGGTTCTCGGGATCTTTATACTAACTTAAAGAATTCAATTAACTACCATTTATCTTAAGATTTGATGGGCTTTGGAAAAAGTTGGTAGAGACCAAGCATAACTACCATTATTCTTTCACTATTGCTTTTAAATGTAAAATTTAAAAAAAGGAAGACTTCAAGCCCAACTAGAATAAACTCATGATTTGTAACCAAACCCAAGAAACGAAGTATGATCCGTGTTTGAAAAAATAAAAACCAAACCTTGGTCAAATAAATATGAGTGAATTTCAGAGACTAGTAAATAGTTGTTTCAGTAATTAAGAAGAAATCTCTAGGCTCTTAACCCAATTAATTCAACCAAATACCATTTATCTTAAGGTTTGATGGCCTTTGCAAAAAATATACAACTGCCCACCCAAAAAAACGAGTTAAGAAATTAGTTTTATATTAATATTCTTTCTTCATTGCTTTTAAATGTAAAATTTCAAAAACATAGACATAATAGAGCTTAACTGGAAAATAAACTCATTATTTGCAAGAAACAAAATATGATCGGTGTTTAAAAATAAAAACCAAACTAAGCCAATCCGAGATGAGTTTAAAACACACTGCAAATAATCAAACTTATGCTGTGAAAATAAAACATGAAAAGTTCAACACTCACCGTAGCTTTATAATGCCCACTCCTAAATCCAGTTTCACAATGCTCGGAGCTTCACCGTACGCGTCTGCGACCTATATAAAGCCAAACATAATGTTAAATAATTTTAAACGCACTGCAAAGCAATCAAACTTACGCACTTAAAATAACTTAGACAATAAACTTAACAAACTTTTATATAAAATTGGACATGTGATTCTCCAGATGCTTTGCCATCTAGATTTTTGAGTAAATATGAGTAAATTTACGAGACTAGTAAATAGTTGTTTAAGTTATTCAGAAGAAAGCTCTCGGGTCATAACTCAATAAATTTAATCAAATACCGTTTATCTTAAGGTTTGATGGCCTTTGCAAAAAATATACAACTGCCCACCCAAAACTACGAGTTGAGAAATTAGTTTTAAACTACTATTTTTCTTCACTGCTTTTAAATGTAAAATTTTAAAAAGGTAAACATAATAAAGCTTAACTGGAAAATAACCTCATGATTTGCAAAAAACGAAGTATGATCCGTGTTTGAAAAAATAAAAACCAAACCTTGGTCAAATAAATATGAGTGAATTTCAGAGACTAGTAAATAGTTGTTTCAGTAATTAAGAAGAAATCTCTAGGCTCTTAACCCAATAAATTCAACCAAATACCATTTATCTTAAGGTTTGATGCCCTTTGCAAAAAATATACAACTGCCCACCCAAAACAACGAGTTAGGAAATTAGTTTTATACTAATATTCTTTCTTCATTGCTTTTAAATGTAAAATTTCGAAAACGTAGACATAATAGACCTTAACTGGAAAATAAACTCATTATTTGCAAGAAACAAAATATGATCGGTGTTTAAAAATAAAAACCAAACTAAGCCAATCCGAGATGAGTTTAAACACACTGCAAGTAATCAAACTTATGCTGTGAAAATAAAACATGAAAAGTCAAACACTCACCTTAGCTTTATAATGCGCACTCCTAAATCCAGTTTCACAATGCTCGGAGCTTCACCGTACGCGTCTGCGACCTATATAAAGCCAAAGATCTTGTTAAATGATTTTAAACGCACTGCAAAGCAATCAAACTTACGCACTTAAAATAACTTAGACAATAAACTTAACAAACTTTTATATATAATTGGATATGTGATTCTCCAGATGCTTTGCCATCTAGATTTTTGAGTAAATATGAGTAAATTTACGAGACTAGTAAATAGATGTTTAAGTTATTCAGAAGAAAGCTCTCGGGTCATAACTCAATAAATTTAATCAAATACCATTTATCTTAAGGTTTGATGCCCTTTGCAAAAAATATACAACTGCCCACCCAAAACTACGAGTTGAGAAATTTGTTTTAAACTACTATTTTTCTTCACTGCTTTTAAATGTAAAATTTTAAAACGGTAAACATAATAAAGCTTAACTGGAAAATAACCTCATGATTTGCAAGAAACGAAGTATGATCCGTGTTTGAAAAAATAAAAACCAAACCTTGGTCAAATAAATATGAGTGAATTTCAGAGACTAGTAAATAGTTGTTTCAGTAATTAAGAAGAAATCTCTAGGCTCTTAACCCAATAAATTCAACGAAATACCATTTATCTTAAGGTTTGATGCCCTTTGCAAAAAATATACAACTGCCCACCCAAAACAACGAGTTAGGAAATTAGTTTTATACTAATATTCTTTCTTCATTGCTTTTAAATGTAAAATTTCGAAAACGTAGACATAATAGAGCTTAACTGGAAAATAAACTCATTATTTGCAAGAAACAAAATATGATCGGTGTTTAAAAATAAAAACCAAACTAAGCCAATCCGAGATGAGTTTAAAAACACACTGCAAATAATCAAACTTATGCTGTGAAAATAAAACATGAAAAGTCCAACACTCACCTTAGCTTTATAATGCCCACTCCTAAATCCAGTTTAACAATGCTCGAAGCTTCACCGTACGCGTCTGCGACCTATATAAAGCCAAACATAATGTTAAATGATTTTAAACGCACTGCAAAGCAATCAAACTTACGCACTTAAAATAACTTAGACAATAAACTTAACAAACTTTTATATAAAATTGGATATGTGAATCTCCAGATGCTTTCCCATCTAGATTTTTGAGTAAAAATATGAGTAAATTTACGAGACTAGTAAAGAGTTGTAAGGTTTTTTGGAAGGAGGTTCTTGGGATCTTTATACTAACTTAAAGAATTCAACTAACTACCATTTATCTTAAGATTTGATGGGCTTTGGAAAAAGTTGGTAGAGACCAAGCATAACTACCATTATTCTTTCACTATTGCTTTTAAATGTAAAATTTAAAAAAAGGAAGACTTCAAGCCCAACTAGAATAAACTCATGATTTGTAACCAAACCCAAGAAACGAAGTATGATCCGTGTTTGAAAAAATAAAAACCAAACCTTGGTCAAATAAATATGAGTGAATTTCAGAGACTAGTAAATAGTTGTTTCAGTAATTAAGAAGAAATCTCTAGGCTCTTAACCCAATAAATTCAACCAAATACCATTTATCTTAAGGTTTGATGCCCTTTGCAAAAAAATATACAACTGCCCACCCAAAACAATGAGTTAGGAAATTAGTTTTATACTAATATTCTTTCTTCATTGCTTTTAAATGTAAAATTTCGAAAACGTAGACATAATAGAGCTTAACTGGAAAATAAACTCATTATTTGCAAGAAACAAAATATGATCGGTGTTTAAAAATAAAAACCAAACTAAGCCAATCCGAGATGAGTTTAAAACACACTGCAAATAATCAAACTTATGCTGTGAAAATAAAACATGAAAAGTTCAACACTCACCGTAGCTTTATAATGCCCACTCCTAAATCCAGTTTCACAATGCTCGGAGCTTCACCGTACGCGTCTGCGACCTATATAAAGCCAAACATAATGTTAAATAATTTTAAACGCACAGCAAAGCAATCAAACTTACGCACTTAAAATTACTTAGACAATAAACTTAACAAACTTTTATATAAAATTGGATATGTGATTCTCCAGATGCTTTGCCATCTAGATTTTTGAGTAAATATGAGTAAATTTACGAGACTAGTAAATAGTTGTATAAGTTATTCAGAAGAAAGCTCTCGGGTCATAACTCAATAAATTTAATCAAATACCATTTATCTTAAGGTTTGATGGCCTTTGCAAAAAATATACAACTGCCCACCCAAAACTACGAGTTGAAAAATTAGTTTTAAACTACTATTTTTCTTCACTGCTTTTAAATGTAAAATTTTAAAATGGTAAACATAATAAAGCTTAACTGGAAAATAACCTCATGATTTGCAAGAAACGAAGTATGATCCGTGTTTGAAAAAATAAAAACCAAACCTTGGTCAAATAAAATGAGTGAATTTCAGAGACTAGTAAATAGTTGTTTCAGTATTTAAGAAGAAATCTCTAGGCTCTTAACCCAATTAATTCAACCAAATACCATTTATCTTAAGGTTTGATGCCCTTTGCAAAAAAATATACAACTGCCCACCCAAAACAATGAGTTAGGAAATTAGTTTTATACTAATATTCTTTCTTCATTGCTTTTAAATGTAAAATTTCGAAAACGTAGACATAATAGAGCTTAACTGGAAAATAAACTCATTATTTGCAAGAAACAAAATATGATCGGTGTTTAAAAATAAAAACCAAACTAAGCCAATCCGAGATGAGTTTAAAACACACTGCAAATAATCAAACTTATGCTGTGAAAATAAAACATGAAAAGTCCAACACTCACCTTAGCTTTATAATGCCCACTCCTAAATCCAGTTTAACAATGCTCGGAGCTTCACCGTACGCGTCTGCGACCTATATAAAGCCAAACATAATGTAAAATGATTTTAAACGCACTGCAAAGCAATCAAACTTACGCACTTAAAATAACTTAGACAATAAACTTAACAAACTTTTATATAAAATTGGATATGTGAATCTCCAGATGCTTTGCCATCTAGATTTTTGAGTAAATATGAGTAAATTTACGAGACTAGTAAAGAGTTGTAAGGTTTTTTGGAAGGAGGTTCTCGGGATCTTTATACTAACTTAAAGAATTCAATTAACTGCCATTTATCTTAAGATTTGATGGGCTTTGGAAAAAGTTGGTAGAGACCAAGCATAACTACCATTATTCTTTCACAATTGCTTTTAAATGTAAAATTTAAAAAAAGGAAGACTTCAAGCCCAACTAGAATA